AAACAACACCACAATAATAAGGAACAATCAGTTGCCAAGAGAATTATTTATTTATTTCATCTCCATGGTGATTGACCAAAAGGAGAGAATTCTGTGACATTGTGATGCTCTAACACAAAAGCTTGTTGACCCAGTTTCGTTCGTTTGATTATCACGGAATTTATTGAAGTGTATCCATGATAATTGTAAATCAAATCTGACAACTTCTCTATTCATTGCAAATCCATCAAATTAAAATTGTTGATACAGTTTTGCTGTCGCCACAAAGATAAAGTGAAATACATAGCATGTACATGTAAAGTTGATGTCCATTTACAATGTTAGTCGGTTGTCATATCATTCAACAATATATATATAGAGAGAGAATATACACCATATCGTGATGCACCTGTAGAGTAATTAGAGATAGGAATACACTATAACGATGTCCTAGACGTTATGATATGAAAGAATAAAAATCAGAACTGCCATGAAAAATTGCAAGTCGCCGAGTATTTGATTCGATCAGTGTGCACGATTGATACGCCAACCACTACACCAACCAATCGACTCCATTGGTCATGAAGCAAACCGGGTACAATGTAAAGCTGACCAATGGGGTTCACTAGAAAACTATATATTTAAAAAGCTCGAACAATGAACTTTAAAATGTATTTTCAAAGTAAAAAATACTTTTGTTTCGCTAGCCGAAAATGCAAAAATAGACGAATAGTCTTTTCCAGACACATTTGGCTCAAAATGCACCTCATTCAAGAAACTTTGGTTCAAAAAAACCCATTGAGACACACATGTGTTTACAGCTTTCAAATAGAAGTTCCCCTGTGCTAGTTTGTTCTCATTATACGAGTACAGAGTGAATGTAAACACAGAGTCAAGCACTTGCAATACTCATCTTGAAACTTCAAGGTATACTGTTTCAGTATACTAGTATAAGATCACCACGAAGCAGAGGTGTGTTGTGAGGGCGAAGCTCGAAACATCTCCTTGATGTTCCATAGTGTGAGCTACTTCTCCACTGACTACTTTAATTTAATTTTAGGGTCTAGAATAAATTACAACAGAAAATCAATAATCAGGCACAAAAACACTCGAATTAAACATACAAAATGCAAGTATATGAAAGATTGCTGGGATATAATGTATTAGTAAAACTCACAGTATTTTGGAGCCTGGAACATGCATGTGGAAAAGCCGTAGTCACATATGGGAAGGAATATGCTTCAAGAAGTTGTAATATCACTCATTTCAAATTCACAAGATATATTTCCTAAATTAAAACTGAACTCAATACTTTTTGTCTTGAATGGCATCAACAAGAACCATTATTTTACCATTATGCGGTTCTAACAATTTGAAAAATCACTGCATCCAAATAAAATCAGATGAAAATAACTTGGAGAAATCTTCCCAGAATTTGTTGTTTGACTGATCAGAATCGCATATTACAGTGACCCGTCCGTAAGTCGCGGATTTTTTCTTGGATCCCGCGACTTGGCGAGAGGTCACTGTATAAATAAATGAAAAATCGTTTTTATTTTCATTGTGACAGAAACTACAGCGATCAGATGGTTACGAGGAGGTGCATACGGTGTAAAATTGTAAGAGAATACTGTAGTGTAGCTTACATTGAAATGTCTGTGAAGAAGGTAATCTGAATATAAACTCGTATTCGATGACTGGAATAGTGACTAATCGTTGGACCGAGTCTAACCACAGTGAGCTGGCGCACAAATGATAATACAATAAATGCGATATTTACTATATGGGGGCTGCCATCTTGAATGCGGCATAAAACTAAATAAGTGACAAGTTGTGAAACGCGTTCTTCAGATTCCTACAAATCAGGACAAAAATGCCAATCTTTCACACAAATACGATCCGTTGGGAGTAATATTAAGCCAGCCGATAACAAAATTCGGCCGAATTCGCCGTTTTTGTGTAGAAAAATCTAACGAACACCTAATTACACGAAGAAAATAGAACACTTTCTTGGGGTATTTGAAACCGAAATGGTCATCTAACTGTAAGGCCGTCGCTGATTGGTTGCTGAGCCGGTACGCAATATTGCGTTGCAAAATCGTCTACACACTGATGCGCGCCATGACGAAAGGAAAAACCTATTGTTTTGGTGCTAATCTAACTGTTTAGCACCTCCCACATTATACATTTCTCATTGGTTTAGATAAAAACTTTAAGACCCGACTATTCTCAATGAGCCTTGCGACTAAATCAAAAATTCATGCACTCAAAGTGGGGGAGCCGTTACCTGCGCATGCGACAGATGGCCATAGCGTGTCATTGTTTACAAACAAGCGTCTACCCATGAGCCTTTGCGTTTTTAGCGTGTGTTGTTATCGTCGCTTGAGACTCAATTTCCGCGCGTGCGCAGGTGACGACCCTCCTACTTTAATCATCCGTCTGAGTGGACCATTTATATCAATATTGTAAGTTCATAGTAATAAAAAGATATACATGCCAAATTTTGCAGGATGGACCAAAATTGAAGGTTTCAAGAGCATGTACGGGAAAGTTCATTCAGAGATAGGTATATTTTCAAAGTCAACAGAGAATACATTACCATGTCATTTCCCTCACAGAACAATTTGCGTTATTTTATTTAATATTTTTCAGGTTTCGTAATCTGTAGTGACGCTCTGATCACGTGTATATTCAGTGCATAGTGTTCTCACACAGACAACAGGATACAACATACAAACAACATACAATAAATTGAATATATGATAATTATATAATTTATTTTTTATTTATCTCCTTCGTGTATATCATGAAGGTCGACAGACGACTAAGTGGATCATTCCATTCAATAAATTGGCGGCGAGAGGAGACAAATGAAATACTGCCAATATACATGTTGTTATATTTTAATAATACATGTACATTGTTCCTACTCCCTGTGGAGCTTTTGTGCAAGCTAATTGAACTGCTAATAGAATAGAATAGATTAGAATAGATTAGATTAGATTAGATTAGATTAGATTAGATTAGATTAGATTATATTAGATTAGATTAGATTAGATTAGATTAGATTAGAATAGAATAGAATAGAATAGAATAGAATAGAATAGAATAGAATAGAATAGAATAGAATAGAAAATGTCACATTTCTATTTAGGCTAAACCAAGTTTTATTTTGTTTTGTACCTTAATACTCATATGGTGTGTCGTGTCATTATTCACTAACTGAAATGTGAGAAAGTCATTGTCCATTGAGACTAAACTAATTAGTGCTATGAATATTTTGTTGATTTTCATCAATAATAAAACGTGTCAGGTATGGCCAAACTACGAATCACCACATGGATAAATGCTTGGCATTGCAATATTAGAAGATTGTCATCAATTTATTTATTTTAATATTTGTCACAATGATAAATTTCTCCATGTTGATGGATGAGTGAATCTCGATTCACTTACTACATAGCCCCGGCGTGTTCCTGTCGACTGTCGACCCTGCCACAGTAGGTTGTCAGGAACTAATTAAAATACAATTATGCGAAATGTGGCAAAAATGTAAATCATGCAAGGCCCTTGGCAATGTTAATGAAAGTGAAACGTGAATCGTGCAAGTAACAATACGAAACGTTTTTCATTTTTGCATTGAAGACTTTGCATTATAGTAATGTGATTGAGATTGGGCACATTCCTTATTTTTGATTTTGATTTTATACATTTTTCTACGAGTGCCATTGAAGTAAAAATGTGAAACGTACTTGTGCAAATGTAAAAATAAAAAAAATCTGGAGCCATAGTAACCCCCAAAATTGAAAAATGTAAAATTCTTCGGTACAGGAAAGCATCACCAATATCCAGTTCTGCAAATCAACGCAGTGCATGTGGCCATTGTGACCATGGTGATGCGACGGTACCATGGCAACAATACTAAGGTAGCCTATTTCACACTATTTTGAAAAAGAACAGTAAAAGCGCATGCGCAACACCCTATCGTATTTATTTGCTTTGTAAACGATATATCGTACACAGTGCGGTCAAAGTGAAAGCAGTTCAGAGGTCACCAGTGCGCTTCAGGGAAGATAGCTGTCATTGCATAGGTACGTGAAATTCTCATTGTATAAACCTAAATATGCTCGGAGCAAATTATTTGATTTATTATGAACGTGGATACAAATGTCATCAGTTGTCGTCTATGTGATGTCACTCTAAGTGGCATATCTCTTCGCTGACGATTTTAGAGAGAGAGTATATTTCCCAGTCGTGCCATCTTTACATTACTGTACGTGACATGGGTGTTATGAGAAAGGCATTCGTGTGTCGCTTTCCGGTCAAATTATACGCCGTCTGTCTGAACTGTGAACACAAACCATGTAAACATCCGATGCAGTATAATCCACCCCAAACATACAGAGCGGTCAGCCACTGTACATACGTAAAGACAACGTCCGCAAACGGCATATGAATGTATTGCATGACCTTGACACACAACGTTGTGGAGCAGTTTATGTTATCATGCCCGGGGTATTATATAACGCTTTTAATGGCGTCCGGAAGTCATTGAACTGCGAGAATTTTTTTTCTCTAAACGTATGTATATTTCCCCTTCGATCTCGTGTAACGAAACATTTCCTCCACGTTCGGTTTGCGCACAGTCGAGGGACTGTGGTTTGCGTTTATTTATTATTAAAGCTCCGTTCATGTGTACTGCTCAGTGCATCCCGTTCTTATTTGTAAGCTAATGTCAAATAATATAGAATAGAACAGAACTGCGTTTATTGACACATACATTAATAATCATGATGTACTGTGTTTGATATTGTTGCATGTCAGAATAATACTCATGCGTTGGGTGTATAACATGTAACACTATATTCCTAGCCTGACTCGTATTTGAATATGTTAATTCCGTGTAATTATTCATGTATTTATTCACTGACTCAAACGTGAGAAATTTATTGTCTATTGAGCCTATGAATTATGAATAATGTAATGATTTTTCTTCTTCTCAGTAATATAACGTGACAGGTATGACCAAACTACAAAATATCACGTGGATAGATGTTGTCTTAGCAATATTATTAGTTGGTTGTCATGCCGAGGACATAGAAGGTATTTATTTAATTATTTACAGTACAAGAGCTAAAAGTGTTATTGAACAAATATGTGCACATTTATACAGCACTAAATTCAACTGAATATATAATTAATTAATGTTTTATCCCTTGCATGGGTATCTAATGTTGATTGAAAATAAATTATGTGCGTCTCATGACAGACAACATACATATATACGCCCTGGGATGTCTCTGTTACTATTAATCTACTATTATATCCTCATTGAGTAGATTTGATTGCCAAGTCTTGTGGGTAAACCCTGTACCTTCCCGCATTGCGTGTTGTCTTTGTGTTTGTTTGTTTGTTTGTTTGTTTGTTTGTTTGTTTGTTTGTTTGTTTGTTTGTTTTGTCTTTCACTGTATCCTAAAATTATTCTAGCATGACTACGTCCAATATGTTATGGGTCCGCCTATTATTCCAATGAAATGACAAAATACTAGTAGCAATGAACTGCAAATCGGATTTTTTTCGCAATCGACCCACGATTAAAACTGAACGATTAAAACCAAGGTACATGTGTATTCATATACACATCATTTATGTTAGGTACCGTTATTCAATGTATATAGGTGTATATTATTAAACACATTTTGTATATAATAAAAGAACTGTTTTCGGTTTTTATTTATTTTGTTGTTTTGTTAATTGCCGTGTTTGTTTAACACAACGTACTATATCCTATTCTCAATTGCAGGATGTGGTGGAGTTTTTAATTACGATTTTGGAGAATTTACCTCTCCAAACTTCCCGAATAATTACGAGAGTAACAGCGACTGTTATTACTATATAACAGTTTCTACAAACAAGCGTATCCGGGTAAGGAGAATAAATGAAATCATTTGTTCTATAGCTATGTAAAACAACTCTTCTATTTCGACCTGTCAATATTATTATATTTGAGCTTTCAGCTTAAAAGATTACCTCAAGGGTACTCGGTCCCGGGCTACCCAAGTGGATCGTTGATGGGTAACTCTGCAAAAAAAAATAACACTTGTCATTCGTCGACTAGAACATAGTGAAATATCTCAAAAACGACCGTCATTGATAATTTTTTTTATATAATTTTTTATAATTACAACTGATTAAATTGATATCGATGTTATGAAAGGCCTTCGTGTCGATCATTTACGCCATCGTGGTACCTCGTCACTTGTGGGCCCCTGACGACCTATATGACACGTGTGTTATTCGTTTTGATAGTTGATAGAAAACGCATCCCAGTAAACTCGATTGTAATTTATAATATACACATATGAAGAATCATTTATTTCCATCTTGTACACGAACATGCGTGGTTATTTACCTGAACCAGAACGTGTCTGGAAAATCTATTCTCAAGGTTGGACACAGCTTTTCGTCCAGCGCCCCCTATCTAATAATATGCTTCTTGATTTTAGTTCTATTGACAGTAGCAAAATAGTAATTTGGGATATTTGACGTATTGTCATGCCAGCGGACCTGGCAACCATTACTGCTTTTCAAATATGTTCTCGTGTGCATTAGACAACATAAACTAGAAATAACGATACATAACATTGTTCTTCATTCGAAAATATTGGACTTCATATTTGACAAGGTATATTAGGTACTGTCTGTCTCAATGTTCTATGGTACATCCCATGGTACATTGCATCATGTTGATATTATATTATCATATCAAACCAAATTATTAAATGTGCCAAAAATTGTCATTTTTTAATCTAAACATTAAATTAAACACATTTGGGTGAAACACATTCTGTTTTTTAGTTGGAGTTCAAGGCATTCAATATACAATATAACGATTATGTAAAAGTGATTGAAGGATCTTCTATAGACAGTCCGCCAGTCTTCACGAAATATTCCGGTCCGTACATTCCTGACATCAGCCTGTCTACCAGTTACAGCATTATTGTCCATTTCCACTCCGATGATCTGATGGAGGCTACCGGGTTCCAAGCAGAGTTTCGCGGTGTTACCAGCGACACGCCAGATGATGATACATGCGGTGGTGATTTATATGGTGACATGGGAACATTGCGTTCACCGGGCTATCCAAACGTTTACCCGAACAGTCTCAACTGTGAATATTACATATCGGTATCTGAAGGGAGACGAATCACGGTAGGGTATACCCCATAATTTATTTGCATTACGGATAGGGATTAAACCATTTCATGTACCATGTATATTCATTCATTCATTTATTCATTCATTCGTTCGTTCGTTCATTCATTCGTTCGTTCATTCATTCATTTGCTCATTCATTTTTGATTTTTATTCCTCGAGTATAGAAAAATATAACATTGACTAATTACAATGACAAAATCTCAAATTCCGATTACAGTATCAAACATGTATCAATGTTCACTTATAAAATATTACGAGTGTATGTCACAATTCATTCATTCATATGTAGTTGTCTGGTTATCTGGTGCGCATGGAATGCTATGTATAGAAATTGATATCATACTTTTAACGAAAGCGCAGTATCATTTAACGGATGTGACGTCACATACCTGCCATCGTCACTGCCATCGGTTATTCTGATTGACCGTCATAGTTAGTCATAGTGTTAACTGCCCTATTTTCAATCTGTTGCGATTTCCCCAAAACATGTGCTCAAAACTCATATGTCGCAATCATTATGACATATTATGCATGATACACACAAATCAAATTTGTTGACAATTGTAGTAAATATGCGAACATTTTGCCAGGAAACGTTTGGAATGAACTGATTGGAGAGACAGTAAACACTTGCATAGCATAGCTTAACGTCCAATGACGTGCCACGGATTTATCCGTTTACCCTAACATAATTGTAATTCCATCGATCTCGGAATACCGCTAGGTATGCGTGAAATATCTTGACCCTTGATACTCTAGACGCAAGCAACTTGAAGTCTGACTCGTAGAAAGATAATTTTGCATACGATTGTGGAAATTTAGGAAATTAAACCAATGCACATTGATTCAAGCGCAGTCGCACCAAATACCATGTTACTGTACAAATAAATACGTAATCCACTTTAATTTTACGTTTCTACAGAATTTACTAAAATAAGGAACTAAATAAGAATACCGTTACATAGCACTCCAAAATTCACACATAAACCCCAGTTCCTGTTTTTAATTTTTCAAATATCCATTTAGCTGTAGTGATTCATCTATAAAGAACCATTTCTATGTGGTTCCCGTTTCTATCTATCTTAAATATTAGAACTGACCTGAACTGAATCGACGTCACGCAAAACCCTGGGTGTATGTGTTTGTAAGGTGATTCTCACCTCCATGGAAACTCCCCATCTAACTTCATACACGTTTGTTCACGAGGCTTTCTCGTTCACGCGCGTGCAACAATAATAAACATCATCGTAAAGTATTTGTACTAGTTCATGGCAACAACACATTCATATATGTGGGCTAGGTTTTTCTTTAAATTAATACACTTATTGCAGGTGCAATTTACATTCTTTGAAACGGAAGATACTTACGACTGCGTATCCATATACGACGGAAACAGTTTATCTGCTAATATGATTGGCCGTTACTGTGGACTGACGTTACCACAAATAATGAGGTCATCTAGCTCAAATATACTTGTTCATTTCACTAGTGATTCAGTAACCCAGTATAAGGGATTTGAACTTTTGTATACTTCTAACCCGGTGGGTGGAATATCAGGTGAGTAGAGTACTAATTTTGTTTCTGGTCATAAGAAATTACAAATGTACAAACCACTTAACATATTCTGTGAACTTGTTGCAGCTCAGCTGTCTTGGAAAAACTTGACCGAAGCATTAATTAGTTACCGTTTCAGGCGCAGCAACACGATAATGAGCTCGATTTCGTTATATGTAACATACCGTTATTATTCAGTTTGCAGGGATGACGCAACGTCTTCACCTGGTGGTGTCATCTATTCCCACGACACGTACCCTGCGGGACTTCCGTCCAACGCCATCTGTTCTCTTGCTATTGACACATTTGCACAATATAACTATGTGTATTTGAACATTCTTCAGATCGATATACGAGATAACAGGAGTTCTGGTAACTATGTCTTTCACATTATTTCCACCATTCCTGAGAACGTCCAGCATGCCTCAATCAGTAATGGTTAAAATTAAGCTACAGGTATATAAATCATTCCTCCAAAAATTGGGTTCGTTGTAATCTTTGATCGTCATTTGTTTCAGATTGCTTGCAGGGCAATTCCATCATACTGAGTACACTCGACACCAAGTCCCGGATCATTGATGTTGTCTGTGACAAGAGTGAAACCAATATTCCGTATACTACCTCCGAAGGTTTGAATATTACACTCCAGATTGAGAACACAGAATATATTCACAGTGGTGTAAAGGCTGTATTTTCATTATACTACCAAGCAACGTGTGAGTATATAATGACACATCACACATCGTATTTTGTAAGTTCCGCTGATACTTATATCAGGGGGGATTTTTCTCCTCTGGGTTCTCCACACGTGTCAGGGGGGAATCTCGTCTCTCTATCGCGTCCCCTTGAGGTACGGGATCGGGGAAGACACTTAAACTTTATAGTCAAATAAGACGCACACAACGAAATACGTTTCAACTCTCGTCTTAGTCGGTCAGTCGTGCACTCTATAAGACACAGCGCCCTGGGGAAAAGTCCGCAAAACTATCGCAAGGCTGACCCAAGACTAGCCCAAGACTGGACTGCGTCAAGGCTCGCCCCAAGACTCTCTCGGACTGGACTCGACTGCGTCTGTCATGCTGTACTCGCCAAGACCAACTCAAACTCTCTTTATTCATTTTCAAAACATTAACCAATTACAAAACAGTAAAAAGACTCTAAGGCGTAACCTTCAACCATAAAGCCAATCACACTAAGTACTGAACACGTCATATCTTTTGATTAATCGTTCACTACATTAATAACTACGGATACCAACTGTCAGAAATAGTAGTCCGAATAACGACGGTTATCTCGTAATTAGTTCCAAATCACTGAGCCAAGTTCCGTCCAAAACTTCAAATAGGCCTAAACGATGACAGACATAACACAGCAATTCGCTCGTAATCAGCTAATTAAGTCGATCAACACATACGCAAAAACAAATTCATGACACTTACAGCTTCTTCACGATTATTTTGATCGTGTCGGCCGGCACACTGGATTGGATCTGTTCATAACAAATGCGATTGTTTAGGCCTGATGCCTACTTACGCCAGGGTTACCATAGAGAAGGCACTCAAGCACGCGAACACAATCATCGAGCAAAATAAAGAGCTTCAAAAAGAAATACGTAATTTTCAACAACAAAATAAGCACACATTGACAAGGTAAAAACACCATAGTCGAGAAAAAACGTGATGCTTTTTGAGTGATTTAAAATGTCCAAGGCAAGTCGCACAGGGATATATGATGAATAACGATTTATGTGTACACATTTTAATACACATCCTTTGTTTAACTGCACAGCATTGGGAATTGAGTACAGCTGTCTCACGGGCAATGACTTCTTATGTACTTCAAATCAACGATGTATATCTGCTTCATTGCGCTGCGATGGTTTTGATAATTGTGGTGACGAATCAGATGAACAGAATTGTGATATAGAAGGTACAATCATCATTATTAATAATAGTGTTAGTATTCGAACTGCCTCGCTTAATGTTGTGCCAACGTTAACGATCCTGTGGTGGGATAGAGTTGTCATATTTTATATCTGTAATTGCAAAGATTTATTTTATAATATAAAATGCATATTTTATAGCTGCTGTGACGACGTCCATCGCCGGCTTTACAAGTAGTGTTGTATTTGTATTGCTAATAATTCTACTGGTTGCATGCTGTTGCCGAAGACGATATGGTAGGTTTGGTGGTCGTCGAGTCGTCAGAAATACGCAGCCTACGACAAATATACAGTAAGTTTTAAAATATTTCAGTATAAGGATATGTATAATTGATCTATGATCTCGCGCGAAGAATGCGAGTTTTCATACATCAAATAATAAACGTAGCACGGGAAACGTAGTCATCGCAAGTGGCCGAGTGGCAAACACGTAAGCTGGACTGGCTGCTGGGATCTCCTCGACACTGGCAGAAAAATTCAAAGCTAGTTGGTTGATGTCATCCTAGAAGAAAAACAAAACAACAGTTATTTTTAAAGTGACTTTATCAATAAAAACACCTATGAGAACAGTGATTTTTCTTTTGTTCATGCAAACAGTGACACTAACAGTCCGGGAGTGTCACTTAGAAATTACCAGTCCCATCTCTAGTCACATCATCTGTGCTCGTGGTAATAAAAAGGAAAACACGGACTCCCACAACATTTCTCGCATTTGCTTAGATAGTCAACCGCGGGTATCAGTTTCATTGGTGCTCAATAATACGATACATTATTGCCCATAATCTGCAGCGATGACGTCATATAATCCATTGATATTGATAATGTCATAATATAAATAATTACAACGAATATCAGTTGAATCCGTCTATACACGTATTATGTATATAAATCTAATCACTGACACTACTTTGTTTTATTCGCAGGCAAACCGTTGTATTTTCACAAAATACCGCGCCTAACCCCCAAAACGCCCCTCCGCCCATCCAACCAACTTATGGCCCTGGAGCTCCAGCTATGAATCCTGCTGCCTATACTCAAGTACCACAGCAAGCATATGGAGGAGTGCAGATGGTCCCCCAGGGATATCAAGCTTGCCAACCATACCCTCCAGCAGCCAACCAACCATATCCACCACCAGGCCCTCAACCATACCCATCTCCTGGGAACCAACAATATTCAACCCAGGGCAGCCAACCCTATCCAACCCAGGGCAATCTTCCATACCCTCCCCCGGGTAACCAGCCATACCCGCCTCCGGGTAGCCAACCATACCCGCCTGCCCCGTCCGATACGTTGCCGCCACCAATGTACGATGACGTGGTTAAGAACCCGTCACCAATGTAATCGTGAGTGTGCCATGTGGCGACGGGAACGTAGTACGCCATGCTGACAGCTGTTTTTTTCTCGGTTTTGTCACAAAATACTGTGCAAATGAAAGTAAAAACGTCGAAACGATGTGTGCCCCAATAACTAACGCTTACTCTTGATACTAGTAAGTGCTGGCCTGTTCAGAACAAATACCTTACGTGAATGGGCCCTGGCCATGGATTAGCTGAAACCAGATGTATCACCAATGTATCTGTTGTCAGTGTTACCTTTTAAGAGTCGCAATTCTTTTCTTAAATAAATGCCGTATTTCGGACCGTAGTTGCGATTTCGATAATCGTGAAAATCTCACTCTTATTGTGTTTTTGTCATCAATGTCTGATAAAGTACATTGATTAGCTGGTGAAGATGATTTCTTGAACATACTACTAGACTGTAGTAATAACTGTAAACAATGCATGCATGGTTTAAATTTCAAATATTTTTAATGGTTTGTATGGCTCCGTTTTTATTTTATTTTTCATTTTATTAGCTCCACTGTCGACTTTGTCGAGCGGAGCTTATCATATAAGTGATTGTCCGTCGTCCGTGTCAATGTTTTACTTTTTCGACTTCTTCTTGAAAACTACAAGCCCAACTGTTTTGATACTTGGTGTATATGTACCTTGGGTAAACCTTTCTCAGGTTTGTTCATTTCATGGTGATATCTTGAATTCTCTAATTTTTGTGAATATTTTTGTCATTTTTGGTAAAATGTTATATTTTCTTGTTAAAAACCGCAAGTCCAATTGCTTTAAATATTTTTTTAATTTTTGGTAAAAAGTGATATTTTTGACTTGTTGAAAACCGCAAGTCTGATTGCTTTTATATTACATATATAGGTACTACATGTGGACCTCTTTCAGATTTGTTAATTTCGTGGTGATATCTTCAATTATCTAATTTTTTGGTGATAAGTGATATTTTTGAATTCTTGTTGAAAACGGTAAGTCCTGTTGCTTTGATACTATACATATTGTTCATTTTCTAATGGCAATGTGCATTGCTAACAGCGGAGCTATCTCAGCCGACAGGCTGCTTGTTGAATCTCCGCCACGGTTACTAAATATTAATGAACTAATATTAAAAACAAAATAAATTTCTCGAACTGTCTCTCAGTCGGGAATGTTACCGGATTTGACAGATTACTAAAGTTTATTCAATGTTTTAAAAAGTGCCATAATATACTGGCATTAATTCAACTGCTAGACTATATTTCTTAGAAAGTGGCTCGTCCGTCTGTTGTCTGTTACTGTCTTACGTAATTGTCCATTAAGTATACACTGTGCAATGAAATACGATTAAAACATATCAGTATTGCGTTATACACAACAATTCATTATAATTTTATTAATAAATAAATGTACGTCATCTTTATTACATCACACTACTTCTGACGCACATTTTTGGATACCTATTTCCACATATTTTCACATACAATGTTACTATAAAATTCGCTTTCGTTATCATTGTACATACTCCCCCTTTTATTCAAACTAGGTGTTGGTCGCATTTTGCGCAGTCGTTTTTATTTTACACTATCTGGTCCGAGTGTTCATAATCTTTCACACTGTAGTTTGATGTTTGATCTGTCCAATTCTGTAAATGTAAAGATATGTATACAGACTATAAGACAATATTCTTCCAATCTATAATATTTATATATGTATTTTTTTTCAAGTAATTGTAAATAAATCAATTGTATAGGATACCAAATGAGTTGCCTAATGTTTTACAAGTATATGTATTTACATTTGAAATCATATAACAGTTGCTGATGAATATGTTTTCCGGAATCAAAGCACAGTATTAGTAATAAACTTTATTAAATTACCTCCACTGTTCTCCGTGTTGTTTTCACAAATTACCTTTCAGCTCTAATGCTGTTATATTGGTAGACTTGCAAATAAACTACATTTAAATGGCGGCTCTTTCTCTTCTCAATATACCTTAGACGGCCGTCGAGGTCTCAAGATCTATTCCATAATGTTCCTCTTGTATGAACACTCCTACCACTCACACATCACTGACATCAACCATTAACTGAACAGTTTATCTAAATTTTGTTGCCATGACTACAGGTGTATTCATCAACAATTGAATTGAATTGTTATTGATTTGGACAAAGATTGCGACATTATCCAGTCATTCCCAGATATCGCATCACTTCTCGTCTAGTACTAGACATATGAAAATCAATAATGGTTTGAATGGCACCTTTCTTTCACCCATCCCACTGTGTAACCTAAATATGTAATTTGAACATGACCAAACGCACTCTTCTTCAAATCAAATTAATATTTAACACTAAGTACAAAAATAACTATTTTGTTTTTACTAACTAATGTGAAGACAACCTTGCAACAGTTGAAAATACTCAAAAATATGCCACGAACCTGCGTCTCATCCTTAAATACATGAGCAATCTAATCATTATATTTGCCAATCCTTAGAATAGAATAAGAATCCGATTTAGCGTCAGAATTCACCTTTCTGTAATGTATACAAAGACGTTCTGTACCACATGATAAACTCCACTCACTCTTAAACTTGATATTGCATGGTCTAGCATGCGCTGTACTTCTTTCCTCACTTCATATATTATAAATATTAATGAGCTCATGAATATTAATTAATTACCGACACACATATGTATATGGTATGGATGTTGATTAATTGTAAGAACATCTCCAACATAATGATGGTTATCCTTGGTTTGACCAGGTACATCAGAAAACAAAATATCACACCCACCAACTCACCTCTGTTCTCGTTTCCTAAATGTGACACTTTCAAGTTGGATAACGCTGTTCACTGAGTTCTTCTTTATACCTTTGTCTGCATTCATACACAGTATCTGTAGGGATTCACTGGCAACCATTGGCAACATACTTCCAACAACAGGCACAACAGTTCTTTCATGGTAAGCTTTCAACATGTTGACATAGCACAGTACATATATTACAAATACAGTACATATATTACAAATACAGTACATATATTACAAATACAGTACATACATTACAAATACAGTACTTATATTACAAATACAGTACACATATTACAAATACAATACGTATATTATAAATACAGTAC